GAATATGGTAAAATGAGCATCACTTTCAAGATGTTATATTCTTTCTCCATTCAAGAAAAGTGTAACTTATTACGTTAGTCTGACCAAGCTATCACGAAATTGACTGCTGCATTTGGGCAAGATCAGGAATGTTGATCTATAAACCACCTATTATAATACCCTTTCTATCCGGTCAAGGCCGAAATATAGCATTGCGATGGATCAACAGCTCATCATATGAAAAGGGGTCTGATATCCGACTCGACGCAGTCATCTCAACACTGATGCAGCGCGATTTTGGCTTTCCAGTTAGTTTGGTGAGATCAATCCTGGCAATAGCACAATAATCAAGAACTCTCTTTTACATGGGTGATTTTTTGGCATATAATAACTTCTTCCATCACTGTTATTGCCAGTGGCTCCAACAAGCTGTTGTTTGATAACGCTCTCCATTTGCTGCCGACTCCCCCCCTCTCTCAAATGCCACAATCTTTACGTTTACCAGCGCTCCTCCATTTGCACCGCCTCTACAGGCGCCGTTGTAGGACTAAGGAGTTTTCCTTTTAATTATGTCCACTGGATGTTAAACGAAATTTTCAAACACAAGATCATCCCAATTCAAGATACTTTGTGAAAGATTTGGTGATGACTATAGATCTGTACCAAAATTCATGCGAGGATATACAAATTTCGTCAAGATTTATCTAAAGGACCCAGGAAGGCACGGAACGCGTCAAGGGCGAACCCAATTACTGAAATAGATCAAAGCAGCGTGATTGCTACTGGCTTGAAAAAATCAGAGAATAAATAGCAACGCTTGCAGCAAAAACCTTGAAGCATACAGTTCAAAATGGGGGTGGTTGAAATAATTTCACATTTTGTTGCTACAGACCAGACAGAGCCTATCACTGACGAAATCAGCCTTGAAAACATCGTTGTGTAAGAGATTGAGCACTCACAGTATGCGCTTCTATCTAACGAAAACATCAGCCCTTTGTTTTCAACATATTTCAGGTAACATCAATATCTTTTAAACTAAGGGATAGGCTATACCACACCTTTCGTGTTCATTTTGGCAGCTTTATGGTTGAATATTGCTCCCAAGTAATTGAACTTTTGTCACGCTAATAAACTTGGGCTTCGGTTCCATATAAAAGAATCTTTTAAATAAAAAAATTGATCCTACTAAGGATAAACAAAGAAAGTATCACACAGACCAGGCGATTCTTTTTTGGTCTATAGGCTCCGTGTCCGTAGACATTTTTAATTTACTTTTGTTTAATGAGCCATTAAAGTCCATTTTGGCGTAAACATGTCAAAGGTTTATTAACGTTGTTCTTTTACAAAATGTTTCAAAAACATAAAAGAAATGGACAGAGTAAAAAGAATAAAGAATAATAATCGATTAACGTTTGCCCAAAATGCTTGTCCATTAAAGCCAAAGCGTGCCAAAATGATAGGACCAGGTATTTGAATATCTGCAATAGATTTATCACGTAAGGTAATATCTTTCAGTTCATTCACAATGAGGGCCTCATATCCGTAGTTGAAAAAACTTAAATGTTGTAGCCAACTCAAGACAGGAGGGATATGGTCTATATAACGTAGGTTATTGCAAAAGTATTTTTCAATCAAAACTTTCAAACCTTTGTTCAATAAGAAGCCACCAAATAACATGGAAAAAAGCATGGTTAGACTAGCTAATAAGTTTGCTATTGACAGGTTCTTAATGCCTGTTGCAAAACACAAGCATAATCCTGCTGCTGCCAAATTGAATAGTACCAACACCAGCAAAAATTTTGCAAATATCAGTAAAGAGGGATTTAAGCCAATCATGTAATAGCAAATGGATCCCATTACCAAAGGTGGAATTACTCGTAGAGGGATAATATCAAACATAACTTTGGCCAGGAAATAAGCACCTGCGCTGTAATAACCGTTTTCACGTTCACGCATAAATAATAGTCTCTCCTTGTTGAACATGTCCAAAGAACTTGTGGCAGCAAACCCCAACAATGCACACATAAAGAATAGGACCCCTAATCTATTTTGAACGCCAGAAAGGTCAACATCCACTTGCCAGAATAAACTACCAAGTAAGATAGCAAGGACGACAGAGAAGGCAAAATGAGCAAAAAACAGCATTGGATTTCTATACATGTTGATAAAAGTCCGAGATGATAAAAGGGACTATAGGAATAGTCGTTAACATAACAGATAGTATACATATTTCTGTCTTACCAATTCATGATAAAATTGTGTGATTGATAAGATGGAGACATCTTGTCCGGGCGGGTCAACCCATACTGAAAAAGGACCGCCTGGATTGGATCGGCCAATACGGTTCTTGATATTCTCGTACAGTTCAGAAGAACGAAACGAATCAGTCAAATAATGAGCATGATTAGACTCGGATAAAAGATCAAATTCCTCTTGCTCTCTTTGGCTGTTGCTGAATGGAGTAGGGGTATCATGTTGTGTGGAGTCTGTATCGTCTGGCCGTTTCATCGTAAGATCAACTATATTTCACGGGTTCAAAATCGCATTAGGTATAATCTATATTTTACTTACTGAGATAGTCAGCAATGTTATAATCAGCTGGAATAGAGAAGCCTAGGTCCCGGAAATAGCTTGAACAAGAGTTAGTTGGACCAAAATATACCTAAATATTTGTATGAGTTGTGAACTTAATTATACAAAAGCAGGCTACCAATTGTCCGGCAGAAAGTAACATGAGTGAATCGAACATTTTGTAAATGTTAGATCTTGGTTGATGAATTGTGACGATTATGGTCCTTTTGCTTTCATGAGCAAGTCTTTGTAGACAGTCCATGACAACGCCTGCATTGTAAGCGTCTAAACCGCTTGTAGGCTCATCCAAAAATAATAAACTTGGTCCTGTTACCAGTTCCTTGCCTATGCTCACTCTTCTTTTTTCTCCACCACTAATTCCGCGTTTACCAGGCATTCCAATTTTACTATCAGCAATTTTGCTGATACCTAGTTCCTGTATGACCTCTTCGACTCGCTTTAATTTCGCTTGTAAAGGCATACTGCGTGGCAAGCGCATCATGGCTGCATATGTCAAGGTTTCTCTTACAGTTAAAGTCCCCATAAGGCTGTCATCTTGATCTACAAAACCTGTAAGTCTTCTAAATTGCTTCATATTCGGTGACGCTCCATTCAATAATATGTTTCCGCTTGCGACGCCTCGTTTATGTTTTCTTGCAAGAATGTCTAATAAGCTTGATTTACCAGCGCCTGAGGGGCCCATGACAGCCAACATCTGACCAGGCTCAACAAACCCACTCAGATTGGACAAAATAGATTTACCCTGAACAGAATAAGATATATCTGAGAAAGTCAGGGAGATCTCTGCCGTTGTTGAATAGCTCGCTAAATCGTCACCCTCATCCATATCTGTTAGTTGTATACGAGTGCCAAAAAGTTTCTTTTGCCTTGAAGCCGTGTACTTCGTGATAGTATATAGTAATATGCAAGCAACAGCTATGGCTGCTATGATCATCGTTTCTGTATAGCTAGAAAATTTCTCTTCCTGGATAGACTAGTTAGTATAGAGAAAGTGCCTTCAGTATTTGATACTTTACAATAGGCGCAGTGTCTAGGATATCTTGCTCATTTACGCATTCTCCTACGTCACAGGATAATCGAATATTATCTGGAAATACACTCACGAGCGTCGAGTACTCTAAGTTCTTTTAGTCAAAATTCAGGGATAAAGTATATAAATATGATCTACCGTTATACCAGCAGTTTTTCCCGTTTTCACAATACCATTCTGAAGGTCCTTTTACGTTTTTTACAAGCTCTGACATGTCTTTAAAAAGAGTAAGTAGCTTGCCTTAACGTAATACGCATATACCCACCTACTTCTCTTCCGCACATATACGCATCTTTCATACACGAACATTTTGCTTTAGGGCAGTTTCCTGTAACTGTATTATCACCTGATGCTTTTTTTTCGGAGGAAACGGCGGTCAATGACAAATATAGACAAAATAGAGTAACTTACTTGACTGTGTACATTCACTTAACTCACAATAAAACTGTTCTTCACGGTTAATCCAAAACTGAAATACACACTCACTCTTTTCCCATTCACAGGCTAAAGATACATATGTGTCATCGCTTATCCAGGGAATATCTATAGATATATATTTTAGTTGCAGATGCAAGAAACAGAAGCTATATTACTTGTAGTAGCACACCATGCATGCATTGATTTAAGGCCAACAGCAGTTTTTATACATGTGGCGCTTGCACCTTTCTCAGGCTGGCATGCTTGATCGCTTTGACAAACGTTGCAATTGACACCACCCCAACTAAAATAGTGTTAGTATATTTTTTTTTTCTCTTTCTTTCTTGAAGTTGCTGTGGATGCATATACCCTGAATTACAGCTGCAGTCCTCGTCATCTTTTCTTTGCGGTCTATCTGTTTCATAAAGTGATCCACAAAGGGGATTGGCACAGTCCAAACCACCTAGTTGAGCATATTAAGTATCTTGGGTCTTGCATAAACTGCATAAATCATTACCCCAACCCACAGGGCAGTGACAAATGCCACTAGTGTTGCATGTGCCTCCATTAACGCAATTGTTTGTTGGTAGCTGGCAGTTGAAGCAAACCGGACACTCTGGACATTGCTGATCTTGTCTTTTCAAATGTGGGAACATGGACAAGTATAGAAAAAAAGGAAAAAGCGGGAATAGAGCAGCAGGTTTAAAAAGTTCGAAACCGAACTTGGTTGAATATACTTGTTTGATGCAAATATTACAAAGAACTATAGTGAACAGAGGATTGATGGTTTCCTTTTGTGTTTATTCTTTCTTTCTCTGTAAGGAATCATGCAAAGACATATTTATATTAAATTTATGTGTACAAATGATCGAGGTCAACAAACAAAGGCATCATTGCTCAGTGTATATTGCCAATTCTGAGTAATCTATAGAGTATGCGAGTATACTCCCCTTTCATCCATTCATCATTGGCTCTGTAAGCAAAAAAGATGCATGACTTGGTGCAGTCTGAATTTAAATAAAGAGTTTAACTATAAACATTTTGTTTGACTACGGCATCTACTGCTTTCAATTTAGATCTTTTTTGACATGCTGAATCCCTTAGCCAATGAATTCAAACCAGTATTAGCCGAAAGCAGTTCTTCTAAAAAAGATAAGGAAAGAAGACATAGCAATAGCCATCATAAAGCAGGCACCGGAGATAATAGTAAAAAACAACCACTCAAAGACAATACAAGTAATGCAAAAAAGCAAGGAACAAGTAAAAAGAAAGGGAATTCTAGCAGCAAGAAACAAAAACCAGAAACTAACAAGAGAAGACCTTCTCGTCAAGAGACAACTAGTCTAGAGGATCAATTTAAGCAAGAAGCCAAATTTATTGCCATAGAAACAGCCATCAATCCTATGCATAGGAATGAAAAGCAATTAGAGCATGGATACGAAAGATACATTGATTGGGTAAATAGAGTAATACACAATGGATAGGCTGGGATAATAATAGTGAGTCAGATTAATAGGTCGCTTAAATTGTATGACATAATAACTGTTGTCGGCATGGATACCGCCATAGTAGATGTTGTTTCCATAGTAACCATCCTTCAAGATAGAAAACTAGGTGTCCATGAAGGTAAATTCTGAACTGAACAAACAATTGACTTATATAAGTCTATTAGAAATAGAAACATTTACAATGGATCAAGGAAATGGAAGAAAGACAAGCTGTATTCAAGTGAAACTTCATTCTTACTTTTAAGGCAATTCAAGTGTTTAAATTTAGTTGTAAATTAATTCCAAAAAAGCCAAGAAAGATTGCTACGTGTCTTATTAAAAAAGGGAGGAGAAAGGGGGGGGGGAGTGATGTTCAGTTAAACTTCTCAGACGATGATGTATATGTATATATTTCTCTTTTTTCTCTCTCTTTTTTTCTTTTGTGTATACTCGCTCTATTTATTCATTTGCCCTGAACTAAAAAATAAAAAGGTAAATTATTATTTCTTTCTCTCTCCTTTTTTTCTCTCTCTCTCTTATTGTCATTTCATAATGTCTCTTTGGGCAAACAAACAAACTAATGAATATGAAATGAGAGAAGTTGTTGACTTAGATTCTTATATTGCACAAGTAGACGGTCGAAATAGTTTAAATATACTCGATACCACTAGTGACGACAACGGCAGTGATAGCACAATGAGTATAGACGAAGACTATAAATACAACTATGAGCAGAGAAATTTTGAAGGAGACGAAGCAGAGCAAAGTTTAGTCAACAATAACGAGAACAGCAGTAATGATATAGAAAGAGGTGAAGTGCATAAAGACATACTGAACAAGCAAAAGGTAGATAAAACGGTCAACCTAATAAATACTAAGCAGAATATGTAATAGAAAGCAAGTAAGAAATGGATTTGCGTGGGGTTTCTGATATTTCTCTTACTGTTATGGCTCATATGGACTATTGGATTGAGTCAGATTAGTTCAGGTACTTGTCTATTCTTTCTTTAAACAGATAGGGCTAATTTAGCTTATAGAAAGCATTGACCAGCAATCAAATAAAGCAAAGCATATAGACTTTTCTGACTTGTATAATGGATCGTTCTTCCCTAAACTAGCAGACTTGAAATGGGCCCACCATGGTAGATGCATAATGGCTGACCTTGTATTTTACATATTAACACACAGGCATATTTTATAGATTCAAAGGATGGTTTACATACATACATAGAACCATTAACAGGCAGTATAATCATGGAATCAATTGAAAATGATAATCAGCAGATACTTGTTGATGGATCAAGACTAGTAACTATTTACAAGCTTATACTAATATCGATAGCTAATACTTGTATGATTAGAAAGTTAACAATAATCCAATAACCTATTATTCCTATGAGATATCCAATGATAACCAATATGTACTATTCACAACGAATTTGACAAAACAATGGAGATACTCGACACTTTCAAACGTTTACATATTTGATGTAGCAAGACAGTCATTATTACCATTAAACAACATGTCTACTATCCATTCAACACCCGCCATATCCCAATCGCTTTGGAGCCCCTCAGGACATCAGCTCGTAATGTGAATATATATTAACAAATAGGCTCATCTAATCATAAATGTATTAGGCTTATGTTATGAACAATGACCTCTATGTGACAAATCTAGTGAATCATACTAGAATTACACATGATGGATCAAGTACAATACTTAATGGTGTTCTTGATTGGGTTTATGAAGAGGAAATATTTGATAGTAATCTTGCTATGTGGTGGTCTCCTGATTCGACGCATATTGCTTATTTAAGATCAAATGAAACGAATGTGCATGATATCCGTTTACAGCATTATACTCAAGAAAACAGCATTTATCCTGAAGAAACAGTGGTCAAATATCCAAAGGTAAGCTTGGTCCAATTTAATAGAGTATTTATTCACATATGTATATTAGCCTGGTGCTCCTAATCCACAGGTTTCTCTTCATGTTCATTCTTTATTATCCAATACATCTGTAGTCCTCACTAGCAACTCTGCTATGAATATTACGGCAAATATAACATTAAACTTTAAAGAGTTTAATGAAACAGACAGAATAATCACGGATGTCCTTTGGGCAACTAACTCTAGTACACATCTGTTATTTAAGCAAACAAACCGTGTTCAGGATGTTGAATTGACTTCACTAGTTACTTTCAACAAGAATGGGACAGTAATAGAAAACGTACGAACTTATAAGCCAGCGGATGATGGATGGATTGAATCTTCTCAGTCGATGATATACCTATCCACAAGCTATAATAAAGAGGGTTATCCTCTTATATCCTATATAGACCTAGTCGACAATGGAAAAGGGTTTATGCACCTTGCTGTCATTAGAATAGGAACCAAAAAGAGCAAACATACAACGTGGCTGACAGTAGGCAAATACGAAGTAATACCAAGAACAACTGCCATAGATCGCAAAAGAAACTTTTTGTAACATGAACTTGCTTCATCATTTAACTGAAGCTAACATCATCTTAATAGGCATTACATCTCCACCGAACAATCACATCTGGAACGTCATCTGTATAGAATAAACCTGAACAGTACAAGCCCAAGCTCTACAAAGATGTGCTTAACTTGTTCTGATGATCCTACGCAACATGCATACTATTCAGCTTCATTCTCATCCCTCAATGGATACTATGTATTGGATTATATGGGACCAGATGTACCAACCTCCGTTGTTAAAAGTGTCGATAACCCTAAATTTGAAAAGGTACTGCAGGACAACAGCGCCTTCAAAGAGCTGATAAGCAACTACGAGCTTCCCAAGACGCGCATGGTGACTGTTAAGAGTGGAGGAGTTAATATGGATGCGAGGGAACTGTTGCCACCTGACTTTGATGCGACAAAAAAATACCCAGTTCTATTTCAAGTTTATGGTGGCCCAGGATCTCAAACTGCTGCGTATACCTTTGAACTCAACTGGAGCACATTTTTGGCAAGCAAGCTAGGCTATATTGTGGTGAATGTAATGTATCACATTAAATATTTGATTAGCAGAGTTGACTTATGATCCTATTAGGTTGATGGAAGAGGAACAGGGTTTAAAGGAAGAAAATATAGAGTAGGTGTAAGGGGTAGATTGGGAGAGCTTGAAACAATTGATCAAATTAACGCAGCAAAGTAAAGTACAAGTGATTATGTCGTAAGCAGTTTTTTTTAATATTATGCATCAATAGACACTGGGCATCGCTTGAATACGTGGATCCCGCGCGCATTGCTATTTGGGGTTGGGTAAGTACGCATAATCATCTTTTAGTGAGCCTACAGTTAACCTATGCTCTTGTTAGTCTTATGGAGGTTATCTGACATCTAAAGTTATTGAAGCAAATAGTGGATTGTTTATTGCTGGAATGGCAGTTGCGCCAGTTACTGATTGGCGGTATTATGGTAAGGAACAAACAAAAAAGAGAGTTCATTTGTATTAAGAGATTCATTCACAGATTCTATCTATACCGAACGGTATATGTTGACGCCTCAAATGAACCCTGATGGATATAACAAAAGTGCAGTGAATAATATGGAAGGATTCAATAATGCGAAATTCTTTTTGGTACATGGCACGGCTGATGATAATGGTAATGATGAATTCAACCAATCATATAGCCATTATTTTATATTCAACGCTTTTGTGTAGTTCACTTTCAGAATAGCGCTGTTTTGGTCAATAAGCTAATACAAGCAAATGTTCACAATTATCAAGTTCAGTATTTTCCGGATAGTGATCATAATATAGACCATGGAAATGCCAATCAAAACCTTTATTATTTACTCACTAACTTTCTCTGGGAAAGGTAAAGTGATATAGCGAGCCTGCGAGTATACATTTTTGCTAAAATATTTGTATAGCTTTGGAGGAAAAGAATATCTTCATGTTCGAAAAGAGCTGAATGGCCACTTCTCTGGACCATTAACATCTTCTGAGCATTAAAAGTATTTATTTATAATTCTTATTATGCTTATTACTACCAAACTATGTGTGTTTTTCGTCAAGATGGGAGGTTGTCTTTCTACGTGAGCTTTTGAAAAAATATGTAGTCTGGTGCCTATAGGCGCCGTTGTTCAATGTTTTATTTCGAGAAAGAAGAGTCAGTAGTAAATAAAGCTTTGTTATACTAAAGGCACTTTCTAAGAGATCCCATTGAAGACCAAGCAGAAAATGCAAAATGTAACCAGTTTTAGGGTATACTTACACAAGATGCTCTAAACTTGGCTGTATCACATCTAAAATGACAGCCCACAGTCTCTCAACACATCATTAATTACCAATAAAATATATAATAATATGCTGTGTGACAAAGACAGCCATATTGTCTATTAGAACAGCATTCTTGGCTTACTCTTTGTTGTTATATTCATTAAACACGACTTCAATTTATTCTTTTCATGGCTAATTATATCAACGAGAGTAGTCTAATAAGTATGTATTTATAGTAACAACTTTTATGCTTGTGTTGCCAAGGAAACGTGTCGTACTATAATGATGTTTTATACTCTAAATACCTCAGTGCTAATAAACATCATTTAATTACAGTAAAGCAAGATGAATTAGCGCTTTATGTTTAATTCTTGTATAGAATTCAAAGACAAGCGAAGTTCCAAGTTGTGACAACATGATGGGGGAAAAGGCCGTATGCGGTTCTTCAAATTTTCAATATTTAATAAATAAAAAGCGGCTTTCTCCTTAACTTTGCTTTCTTTTCCTCCCAACAAACACAATGACTTATTTTGAAACTCTCAAGCGCTCTTACACTGATGTTGACACTAGCAAAGGTGTCGACACTGAACAATTCTTGGAAGCTACAGAAGGACTTGTTAAGCTTTTTGGTATAGTATAAATAAGGAGAAGTCATCGCAACCTTTGCTCATCTCGTGTTTCTTGTTCACAGACTTGCTCGGCTCTGCTGCTTTTTCAGTTGTTCAAAGTGACATGAACGGTAATATCAAGGTAAATGTATTTTGGCACATTGGATGAGCCAAATACTTACATAATTGATACAAAAACAGAAAATCAGAGATCGTTATCTGTCGAATCCTACAGCTAATAACACATTGGAAGAATTAATGAAGAATGAAGCTCCCGAGAAGAAGAGAGTAGCTACCGAAGGCCTCCTCTGGTTGACAAGGTAAAAAAAGCGTAAAATGGAGTATTTTATTAAACTCTTTACAAAAGAGGTCTCGACTTTACTGCACAAGCTTTACGTCGTAGCTTGTCAGATCCTGCTGAAGAATTGAACACCTCCTTCACAAAAGCTTATGAACAGACACTTAAGAAACATCATAGTATCATTGTTCGTCCTGTTTTTGCTGTAAGTTCTACCTTTGTCAACATGATCAGATTTTAATTTTTTTTTTTTTTGTAACAGCTTGCAATGAAAGCCTGTCCTTACCGTAAGGACTTTTATGAAAAGATCGGCGCTGTCAATGACGCTGCTATAGCTCAAATGAAGGCATGGCTCGAAGCTCTTGAAAATATCATTTCCATTATCCAAAATGTTTTTAAAGCAAACCCTGCATACATTAAGGGTATGTAAATAAAATACAAACTATTTCATAAGCATAGCTATGTGTTTTTTTTTTTTTTTTTTATACAGTTGGTCAAGTGTTTATTTACATGCAAGATTCGATAATCTCACTAATCATAATCATCATCGTCCACAATAAAGTCTTCATCATCGTCAGAATTTCCTGTGGACCGTCTTGTTCTCCTTAAAACAGGTTCTTCCTCCGACTCTTCCTCCCTTTGTAGTTCTTCTTGATACTCGTCGTCTGATTTATCAACGATTGCCTTCTTTCTGCCACCGCCCTTTGCCCAAGACAATGGCATACGGGGGTCTTTATTTATAGTTAGTAAACACTTCACTAATGCTGTATTTAACTTACTCATGAAGCGTGTTTTAAAAAAGTTTGCCATTCTAATAGCATTCTTATGAGCGGCTGACGATTCATCATTATAACGCATTGCATTCTTTTTGATAAGTTCTATATCATCAATAACACCCTAAAAGGAGGATTAGTAAGAGATATGCTTTCGTGAGCATTATTACCTGTTTCGATCTGTAAAATCCATTTTCTAATCTTTCTAGGACCATATCCAGACAGACAGGGTAAGGAACAATTGTAAGATAAGAAGGGTACTGATAATAATCCACTTGTTGCACGTAAAGTGCAAAGTCTTCTGAACTTGCTAGCCAAATAAGGATGTCTTTGGCTCTTTTTATTTCGTCGTTCGTAAGCCTTGGTCCCACATCATATCTATCATAAAAGTTTTCACCATGCGGCACTAATTCCCAAGGACACATATCATCAGGCTTAGAATTTGGATCATCCCAGACGACGTGAAAGTATGTCCAGGGACTAGGTAAGTTGGCTTGTCTCCATTGCAGTCCTTTTTGGTTAAGGCTAGCTATTGTGCCACTATATGTACCACTTTCATCATAAACAGCATCCACAGCTTGTCCAACTTGAAGGTTACGGAATACATCCATGGATGCATAGAATCTTTCCCAAAGGATAATAAATTCAGGACATCCATCTTCATCAGAATAGTCAATTACTTCTTCTCTATTTAATGGCACCCAATTAGGAGCAGCTTGGTGGGATAGAACTTGCTGCAAGTTTTGTAAACGAAGGAGAGATACCTTGAGCTTACAGTAGGTAGGAGGGCCTACTTGCCAGCTCATGCCAGACACTTGAGCAAAGATAACAGGCTCATGCCGATCGATCACACCATGCTTCTCATCAAAAAGACCCTTCATCTCTGATTGTCTCAAGTACTGTCGATGCCCTTCTGTTAGGATCACAATATGGTCGCCTGTCTGTGGTAAATATTTCGATACAGATCGTTCAACATTTTTAATCCAAGGTATGGGCTCGAACAATTCAATTTCATCTTTAGACAATATCCTTGGGAAACCGCGCTGTTTCCCTGCTCGTTTGGCGGTTGCTTTTGACTGAACAGGGGGTTTAGGTGATTCCATCTGCTGAGAACGTGTTCGTTTAGGACGTGGCGGATGTGTACTGGTCAAGGATGAACTGCCAATGCCGTTTTGATGCGATCTGAATGAATAAGGACTCAATGGACCATGATTATCTTCATGGCTATCAACGTCGCTAGCCATAGAGCGCAGAATTCTTTTCCCTTTGCGGTCTTCTTGCTCATCAGTATAAATATGGCTAGCAGAACTACGAGTGGTAATACTTGAAGCCCTACCTCTTGTATCATAAGCACTGTGGCTACTCGATGCTACTGGGTAACTATTCTCTCTCTGTATTCTATTTGGGCTCTCAACGTTCACAAACACATCCATTTGATCGTCATTTCCTTCATCAACAGTGACATATTCATTTTCCTCCTCCTCCTCTTCGTCCTCTATGTCATCAGGGTCGCTTTCCAAATACGATACATGTGCTAATCGTCGTCTAAATCGAGGTCTCACAGGCTCCTCTTCCTCGTCATCCGATCTATTTCGCTTACGGGAAGGACGACCTCTTCGGCCTGTACCACGCATATTATCTCTATTAAGCCTTGGGCGTCCTCGTCTTCTGGGCGCATTTGTTCTTCGCGTACTAGGCACTGTGCCTCTACTACTAGGACCTCTGACAGGTGATGGTGAAGGCCGTCTTTGTCCTGCTCTGCTTCTAGTTACTGGGCCTTCTTCCTCTTGATCAGCATCACTTTCTACTTGATCATCTCTTGCGACAAAGTCATCCGAGCCAGCCTCTTCACTACTCTCACCGCTAGAAGCATAAGCTGCGTTATCGGGACCGTCTTCACGGTAATCTTCATCCTCAGAGTCGTCAGGAAGCAAGAATGGCTGTAATGGAGGAGGAAACTGAAAGGGTGTATTGGCTGCCAACTCTGCTTCTTCTTCATCGCTTGATTTGACAAAATCGCGCCTTTTTCGTGCAATAGTAGCACGGTCCAGTGATGGCAGCTTAATCGCTTTAATTTTTCTCATTCTAAGATAACATAAGAAATACTGTTCATTTCAAGCTGATTTGCTACTTACTCCTCTTCTTCCATGGCATAACATGCACTTCTCTTCATATCTTCAAGTTCAAATGTTTCAGATACAGTAGGAATATTTCTGCCTATGGGATAGAGAGTAAGTAACAGTACGGTCAGTGGAAGTATATCTTACCATAACCCAATTTCTTTTGATTTGGATAAGCAACGCCTTGCAAGTCGATTATGGAAGAGGGAGGCAAAGCATATGGCATCTGTTGGGTGGCCTCATCAACAAAACTGCCATCAGTGAAATAACGAAGAGCTTGATAGTCAGACATAAAATATTGCCCCCTTTCCCAGCTACGGACTTGCTCATAATCCTTCTCTAGGCCTCCAATACCATATAAGGTACAATGTCCTTCTTCATCCGTAATGGCGTACTTCATACCTACATGTAGAGACAAAAATTAGCATGAAGCAACAGAAAAGGGGTATACATTGTTACCATCTTTTGAAAACTTGGAGTCTGTAAAAGTCCTTCCAGCATGATGATGGCGAGTAATCATCTTCATTCTAGCTAAATCCCAAAGTATCACATTTCCATCATAACCAGCAGACAAAAGTGTGCTGGGATCCAGTGGATGATTGTCTAGAGCATAAACTTCTCCTCGATGCCCCTTTAGCATACATGCTGGTCTACCGTCATAAGCATAATACACTCTTATCTCCCCCTGGTTTGACGCGACAATACACCATTTATCATCGGAGCTCCAAGCAATCATCGATACTTTGACCTGGCTTATGGCTGAAGGTGCTTGCTCTGTTGTATTATTTACATCAACATCTTGATCTATACTGGTTACACTTTCATCATTGTCATCAAAGGGTATACATGAGCCAAACTCTTCTGCGTCTGTATGTCGTTTATGGCTGATATTGGATTGTTTATGACTGGGAGTCTCAAACTGTACAACAGGTGCATCCATAGGCTGTTTCAAGTTCACTTTTAAAAACAGTGAGTGTAAATGATTGTGATGATACTATTTATACTTACATACGATCGACTCCCACTCCTCTGCGGTTTTATTAAAGTGCCATATACGGGCTGTTCCGTCTTGGCAGCTTTAAACAATTATTTAAAAAAAGCGCATTCTTTATCTCTTGTATTAAGCTTACCCGCTAAGTATCCTCTGTCCGTCATGACTGTATGCCAAATCCGTCACACTGCCCATATGCCCTTCAAGTATACCAATGGGTACTACTGTCTGTGATTGTACATGTCCACTCTTATCAGGGAATAAAACACTTGGCACCCTTCGTCTTCCTCTGCCCACCTGAGATTGATGCTGATTAGCTGAAGAGTCATGGTGACTAGGTGTTGCGCCTGCATAAACTGCTTCAACAGGTATTGTGGAGAACACATAGACAAATCCGTCATCACCAGCGACTGCAAATTGTGTGCCAGTATAGTTGAACGAAGAACATCGTAAACGATCTCTTGCTCTAAATTTACAACTGAAGGCGATAGGTGAATCTACATCAAAGAATTCCAAGGTATCTCTATCCCATCTCCAAAGTCGTGCCAATCCATCTTCATTTGTTGCCATCAAATAACGAGTGTCATTTCTAGGCGAAGGTGAAAATTTAACGGTTGTAAATGGTTTAATCTATATATTTATATATATTGATATAATCTATAAGTGATGCTTTAATTCATATACTTTCTTACTGTTGTTGTATTAGGTCGAAGGCACATGATGGGTTTATATTCATCCATAGTCCAGACACGTACGCACCCGTCTGAAGAGGCAGTTGCTATCAGTGTGTTTTCTTGATTAATGGTGATATCAGTAATAATATTCTGGTGCCCTCTAATTGTGTGAATAAGATAACCCGTACGAACACACCATACTTTGACGAGAAAGTCATCACTCCCCTATAGATTGTTATTTAAATATCCTAAAGTTCCAAAATAAATACATACTGTAAATAAACGTCTGTTTGTTTTATCGAAAGCGACACAATAAACTGGGTTGCGATGACCTGAGATAGTGACAAGCTAAAATAAAATAAAAAGGTGAGGAATAAGTTTACATATCAATATTCTTACTTCTCTATAAAATGTGGATAAAGAGGTTGGCACTTGGTTCTTTTTAAACGCTTTGACTCCCAATTCCCTTGCGATGAGTAATCGATCTAATGTTGGTCAGAATCCATTTAAATAGGGTCGATTTCACACTTACGAATGGATAATCCTTTAAGCTGTTCTTTTGTCATGTTTAAATAATTACAGTGGTTTTTTTCATCTTGTTTAGGAATGAATGCTGAAAGCATAGTCATCAAAGACCTATCTCCGTGTCTTAAAGCGCTTACTCTAGCTTTCTTTGGATCACCTGTTTCTTTAAAATGATCTAGTAATCTTTCCAATAAATCGAGCAAATAGCTATCACTAATATTTGGATGTTCTTTTGACTAATGTTGATAAAAGTAAGTAATTAATAACAAAATGTATTATGCTCTTACTAGTCGGTCCATTGTCATTGGCACTTTTTTGCCTTCATAATTGATTGTGTGTGGAAGTAGTTCTTTATGCTGAGCCAATTCATTTTCAAGAGCACGTGCAGCATCCTTACAGGGTCCTGCAGCGAGAAATTTCGTAATCAAATAATAAAGCTATTGTATAGATTAACAAAAAGAACTGTTGTATATTTATGTGTGATCGTGTATAAACCTCTACAGGTAATAATAACAAACTATTAGTTATCGTTCTCTCTCTTTTCTCTATTTCGTATTTTGATGTATTGGATATGTATTCACCTTGCTCCATTTTTTAATTTCATAAATTATGATAATCTATGTCAAGACTATATATATTGTTGTATTTTATTCTAAAAAAAAAAAAAAAAAAAAAAGCTTAAATCATGAAAAAAGAAGAGCATCGACTTGTGCATGACACTACGTGCACCCCATATCATGAAGCAAAAGATACATATGGGTTTCATTAGTCAATGATGGAGCAGTGTTCAATACAAACATAGACATGAACAGACTCAATAACGTAAAGTGTAAAAGGCCATTAAAAACATCAAGTATAAATATGTTTCACTGCCAGAGGTAATGCAACACCTGAGCAGGTTTACTAAAAGTAAAAGAAACACGACCATGACTTCAATTGGCCAATCATTTTAATTGATTCAAACAATTTAAGTTCTCCAGTGTGTGTGTCTGCTGTTGTGTCTTTTTATAAAATAAAATAAATATAAAAAAAAGCCTAATGTGGATAGTGCTACTACTGCTATTATTTATTACATGTTCAACAACAGCCTATGTTCAAAACTGCATAGACCCAACAAGTTGTCAGTTCTTTCCTCTTCATAGCTGCTTTGCAACAGAAGAAGGCTTAGTATGCAAAAGCCGAGGTATGGAAGAAAAGGGCTTGACGATGACATTTAATAAATGTTGCTTATAGACAAACCGGGATTCGAGTTAAATAGGGATCCAGCATATACATTTCTATATTCACAAATAAGCTTTGAAAACGACACTGGCTTGCCTTGTTTTTCAATACCCATCACCGACCAACTCATAAGCTATGTTGCCTATCGTGGACCCGAAGTGATCTCTGTAGAGGATTTACCGTTGATAGGAAACTGCAGTAGAACATCTTATTGTGATAAAAAGACAAAAACATGCCAACCAAAACGAACTTTGGGATCTCGTTGCCAATACAATATGCAGTGCATGATAGGTGATAGTGGTATTCCTGGTCATTGTTCGAACAATTCTGTTTGTGAGATAAGACAGGATTTACCCCCTTATTACTATAGCAATACAAGAGAATGGAAGGTGGGTAAAGAGTGGCCAGCAGCTGTGATTGCTCTTATTACTGCAGGCGTCATCGTAGGCATCATCCTTACAGTGCGGCACTTTTATCCCAAGCTTATTAAGTCAGTGTTGACCAAATGGCAAACTAAGAATAGCACAATGCCATCAGCGGATCCAACTATTTATGAAAATGAAGAAGCATGGAATCGTCATCATAAGAGATGGTGGAAACAAGTGCCAGGCGTCAACTGGGTCTATAATCGATTGAAAAGGTCTAATAATAGAGAATATCATCCATTGGACGATCGAACTGAAGAACCACCACCCTATAACGAAAACTAAGCTTCTTTTTATTATTTATTGCAATAAATTTGAAATGCACTTTTTTGAATCATTATCTAATTCTATTCCCCAGATAGAATGCTTGGATTGAGTACCAATGACATCTGTGGCTGAACATGTTCTATGAAGGGTATCTTCTATCATCTCTGGTTGCATATTTTCAAGCACATAACCATCCTCAATATCGGGAGACAGAATCACTGTTGAATCACCAGCATGCAATAGTCCACACGTTCGTGGAGGTAGACGGGCCATTAGGTCCATATGGTCTGTAATACGAATGACATTGACATCTCGCGTCGAAAGAGTCTGTAAAAAAGTCTTATTGGCTACACGAGGTGAAAAGATGGTGCAGACCGTGATATGTCTGTTCAACAACAGTTTTGTCGTCCTTAGGGAGTAAGCACAAAGACAGGCAACAGCTAATGACGAAATAAGATTAGGTACTTGTCCCCGCTGATATCATTTAATTACCTCCACCAAGCGAATGTCCTATGATCACGACTTTATAGCGAGAGGGCATGGTTGCACAGAGACGCATGAGTAATGTAACCACTTTCATCTCACAACGACGCCAGGCAGTAAGAGCACACTCCAGCACCCAAGGAGACGGGTCCTCTTGAGCATCTTCATAAAGCTGACGTTCCATCTTGTCTGCTGAGGGAGTATCGGGTTCGATCCAAGGCGCTGGCACGAATGATGCGTTTTCAAACATGTATTGTGACACGGCCATGCCTGGAAATACAACTAGTATCTCTTCTGCTTCATTGTCGACAGCGACATATCCGTACTTTTGTGGCGAACAGTCATCATCCTCAAGATCTTCTTCTATCGATTCTTCTTCTATACTACTAATATCACTCGTAGATACATTTCGTTCTGGAGGTATATACTGAAAGGCAGAAAAGGCTTGAGGTCGCTGATGCCTAGTAAGGGTATCAAATGCTTTTTTCCTTTCTGGTGCAACTGCAGATGACATTACGATTTGAGATTCCGTCGGCTTGTTATTGATATAATTGATGTAAGAAATCGGAAACATGACTGTTTGTTGTTCATAGGAACTTGGTTGTGTGATAATCAGGGAAGAGAAAAGACGACCTGTTGTTGATGCTGCAAATGTCTCTTGCTTCTTTTGATGTGGCTGAGGGTGTTGTTGGACAGATTCAAGTCCGCATTGGAGAGAACAGTCAGCGCATCGGATGGGAATGAGGTCGCATTGATTATTGCTGGAAATGATAGAGTCAGGGGGCGATGGCGACATCAGTTTAGCATTGTTTGGATGAGACATTAGTAGCTCATGGCTACAAAAGGAGACATAGTGACAATATCGCTTGAGTCGTTTCAGATAGGAAGCAGATATGATCTGGTGGGGTATATCATAAAGTAAATGCATACTGTCAGGCAATGTATTAGGTGAAGGTGGCAAAGGCTTTGTCTTGGGGATATAATTTGCCGCCTGCATTAAAAGTGCTTTTGGTAACGTGAATATGCACTGACGATGTAGTAAATTGTGTGAAACGTTCTTTTTGCGTCGAACAAAGCGTATGAGCTTTTTTCCCAAAGATCGAGATGGACTCGTGCCGAGAACACCGAGCATAGGAGGTTGAAGGTTGAACAAAAGGTCATGGGAAGAGGATGAAAGGAGCTTTGCAACGGAGTCATGGACAAGCTGCTCTTCATTGAGATACTGTATCAACCAAGCAAACTGTTGCACGGTGAGTTTTAATAATTTGGAGTGCTTCGCGTCTGGGCTCGTGCCTAGGATCACCTGGGTTTTTCTAGGTTCATAATGAACATAGGCCTTGGTGTCAAATGAAAATACTACAGAACGAGACGGCAGAAAGGATATACTATTGGCTTTTAATAGACTGACAGGTCCATGATCATTTCTGACAAAATCTGTAGTCAATGTTACTGCTACACCTTCCCTTGCATATAGCTCATGGCTTTTATTGTTTAATGAACTTGGTTGCCGACTTAATGAGCCTTCTCTTCTTGACAATAGTGATTTTACTCCTCTAAAGATATTTAGCGAAGATGATGATGACCTATGCTTTCTTTCAATCATTATTAAATAAAAAATAAAAAATAAAAAATAAAAAACAAAAACAAAAACAAGAAAAGGCAAAAAAAAAAAATCTAGTTTTAAAGGGCTTCTGTAGCTTGTGTAATCCCTTTCTCGCTTTTTTTAGTTTGTATGAAAGCAGAAGGGGAGGAAGTTCTATTACAAAACCTATTATATCCTTTATGTTATCCTACCAATAATGCAGGGCGCAAGCACACTTCCTGAAACAGTATCAGTGCATTTCTTATAATCAGGACAAGAGCCTTACCTCGTATTTCGTTTCCCTCTTTCAGTGACCTGAAATACACGTGATGGTCGATAAGAGGTGCTACGATGCTATCCATTCTAGTTAACTTTGCATGTCTGTTAGACCTTGATTGTCATTTGCCAAGGACCTATTACTGCAAATTGCGTTGATAAAGAAAGAGTGTGTGTGTATGATTCAGCATAGTATGTGCTATTTAGACCTGAAAAGCTTTCTGCGAGTTGATAACGAACGGGACTATTAGTCGGAGAAAGTGTTGTCTTGAAAAAAGACACCCCATGGATCGCCAGAAATTTTTTGTGGGCAAAGACATTTCCGGCCCGGACAATATGCCCCTCCATCCTTCATGGATTCTGTTGGAAACCAAGAGGGAGCTTGACAGTGTAAAGAAATCCTTCCCTTTTCTTATAGATCCTTCCATCATGGTATGTTACAAGTCATAGTAGAAGTACAAAATAAGGGAGAGTAGATGACAACAAAGATGGATTAGATGCAATAGATACAAGATATTAAATGTAGATTATGTGTGGATAGTTATCGCTCACCCTTATTTTGTTCCTTTTCTACTGAGCATACTTCAATCAGATGCATTAACTTCCAATCGTAGGACTCAAAGACTCCCGTTAAGCTCGCTAGAGTTACAAAGGTTCTCGGCCGTACCGGTTCTCGTGGTGGTGTCACCCAAGTCCGCGTTGAATTCATGGACGATACCAACCGTTCCATCATTCGTAATGTCAAGGGTCCCGTTCGTGAAAACGATATTCTCTGCCTTTTGGAATCTGAACGTGAAGCTCGTCGTCTCCGTTAAATATTCAAGCTCACTGTGTTGATTCGTCAATAATAAATTCAAGTTCCAAAATAAATCAACTTGTAAACCACACATACGCACATACATACACACTCATATGTTACATATACACACATATTAGTTGAATCTTTGAAAGTAGTTTATTAGATTTGTATTATCGGCCAGAAGGAGTGCCCATAGATGCTAGTTTATATCGTTTGTAAGGACGTCCAGGCTCATGGCTAGAGACTGACACAGGTTCGGGTGGGTTGGGCGGAGGGCTATATTGAATGTTAAAAAGGGAGTCATATCTTTTTTATATCATTTTCTTACGATGTATTCTCTTGGCCCAATATCTCTCTTTTTTGTATTTCATATTTTAGCTGTTTAATTGCCCATTTCTCGGCCTATCATTTGCCTGTGTGAGTGGAATATGGGATATTCAACTATGTATTGTTACCTCTAATTGTGCTCTCTGCTTTCCCAACTCTTCAGCTGCTTCTGTTATCTTTCGTCTATCTCTCATTATCCTTTTTCTTATTGTTTTATATTTTGCTATATTCTCCAGATCCAATTCTGTTACTGAGCTCTCGGAGCTGTTTATAAAGTTAGCTAAAAATTTATCACAAAAAAAACACTTACTCTGATAGCACAACTGGCTCAGGCTGAGGCATAACAGTATCAAAGAAGCCACCTTGTTCAAATCTTTTATAGACTTGCATCTTTCCTTCGTATTCAATTTTCATTGCCTCTTTATAATATTTAGTTGAATGATTAATAACAATGCATTGAAGTTACCTATACTTTGCAGTAAATCTTCCATTGATTGTTCCAAGGATTGAATCGTCTTTTCCTTTTCATGTAGTTGCTCATCTATGTTTTCATTCGGTCTTTGATCGATTTGATGGCTCCATTCCATTCTTAACCTGACCAGCAGATCCTCCACTTCCTTCAAAGCCTCTTTTGCTCCACAATCCATGGGTAAACTAAATCGTGCAATCTCACGTTGAAGATCCCTCTTGTTCATATTGGATTGCTGTATCCTATCTTCTAATAGATGTCTTACTCCTGTATAAAGTTGTATTAATGCTGCTCTTAAATCTTCACTTTCTCTCTTTGCGTCCCTTTCTCTGTTTGTTGCTTTCAATAATAGGTCAGAATACATTGCACGTACCTGAATGTGTGTACGCCATTAATTCTTTGTTTTGTTTTGTTTTTTTTTTTTTCCCTTTTTTACACTTACTTGAACAACTTCATCATCATCTGCTGCATTATCCATTGTTGTTGCAAAGTGTGAGTTCATATCGAGTGATGCTACATTGATCTTCATGTGGTTGTTCATCTGTCTTAATAGTCTGTCTTGTATCTTTGCCATATCTTGTTCGTGTCTTTTTGTCTCGTGCTATTTCTTTTGTAAGCTACATCCATGATAAAACATTCATCGTTGCCTTACCGCATATTGTGCTTTCATATATTGCATATTATTCTTGGCCTTTGTCATCTCTTCCTTTAGACGTGTATTCTGTGTCAATTGTCTCTTTTGTTCCTTTTCACTCGCACTACATAATAAGTTTACATGCAAAAGGAAATAATACACTCTTACTCTAGTTTAGTTTTTAGTTCTGATATCTTTTTGTCTTGAAGCATGTATTCTCGTTTATGATTTGCTAATAATGTCTGTAATTCCTCTTGATTCTTATCAAGTTGATTAATTCTTTCTAATAATTGTTGTTTCTCCTGCATGTCTTTCTATGATGACGCTTTAGTAATCTTTCCTTTTTAAACCGCTGTTTTCTTTTACTTTTCTATCGTTGATTAATGCATAGATACAATTGATAATTTTACATTTATCTTCAGGATCTGAAGAATCAACCACGATTGGAACAGGGTATCCATAAGAAGTTAAAAGTAAATTGACATAATTGACAGAAGTACTAAGTGTCTCAGGGGTACAAAAGCTAAATCATGTTTAGCTGGTGTCTTTTGTGTTTAGTTCTACTTACCTTTCTGTCTCATATCTAAAAGCAAGTGAATTATTCATTAGATAAAGAAAAGAAAACGAATAACATTTTTTATATGAAAAAAAAGCGCGTATATTCAAACGGCTTAGTTTGGATGCAGGATTGCGCTGTTACATTATTTTAAAAGATGTTATTTTTAACAGATTGAGGGGAATTGCTCTTGATCTAAAGAAGCGTGCCTTCAACTGCCTCATTTACTACATAATACAGCCAAAAAACAAAGACTGAGAGGATGAATCAACAACACATTATGAATAAAAAAAAAGAAAGAAGCATTAAATGAAGAATACCACGTCATTCATAAGACAATAATATTCCTTTGTGAGTATTGCTTTTTTACAACGTAATATCATTTTGATAATACCCTCTTTTTTATCTCACTCTCTTTCCCTTTCTTTTTTTTCTTTCTTTCTTTCTTGACAGTGGATAAATTGGGTCAAAAGATAAAGGCTAAGGATAATCCAAGTCATAATGTTGTTGTTTGCTCGACACGTTGAAAAAGCTACCTGAACTTGCAGCAGTAAAAGCAATTGAAGCAATGAGTCTCATACGCGCAGGAACAAGATTGAAATGCCGAACTTCTTTATATATAATTTGATTGAGCTCAATTTTTGGTTTGTCTAGTGAATACATGCCCACTGCTACTCTATCAAATCAATCTCTTATGCAGACAAATATCCTTGATAAGGAATTTGATAGTTTAATCAATATTGACGAAATAAGAGAAAGTTTACGTCAATTGGACGAAGAAGAAAATCGCATAGATGCTTTTCTTGATGACATTTTAAAACAGGAATCTATTCTAGATACATCGTTGAATTCACTCAAAGCTATAAAGTAAACTATTCATCCCATCTACCTTTCCCGTTCTCATATATACAAACATGCTTTATCATAGGCCGCAATTAGATACCTTGAAAGTAAAAGCCGCTACATTTACAGATACAGTCAGTCAAACAGCTCATTTAGCTGAGGTGATTAGCGATAAAGTAAGACAACTCGATAAAGAACAGACAAGAGCAAAGCTTGCTATCAAGTATGTAGAAGACGTTCAGGAGTTAAAGTTTTGTATTTCAAGTCTTAACGAAGCGATGCAAAAGAAGGAGTATGACTGTGCAGCGCTTTTATTGCAGAGAGCATCAAAGATAGACTCATCCATCTTGAAAGGATCACTAGCCGAGTTCACAGTGGTAAGTCATCATTTTTATTTACAGGTTTTTGCTTATATTCTATCAAGCCTACATCAGAGTACCCAGATCATCCAGAAAAAACATTGACAGAGACCAAAGCAGCACTATTTGATATATTCAGCCGTCAATTTGATGATGCAGTGGCAGAAAGGAATCAAGCAGACATTACACGTTACTTCAAACTGTTTCCTCTCATTAACTGCCAAACAGAAGGATTGGATCAGTATTCACGGTTCGTTTGTAACATTATCAAATCACGTTGTGCAGATGAAATGAGTGAGGGTCTAGGTAAAGGATGAATAAGAAAAGAAACAATCTGAGCTAAATAGTGTAGAAAGTAACTGCACCTACCTATTTTGCTGATGCGTTAACAAGACTGTTTGAAAATATTGCGGTCATCATTGATCAGCACCAACCCCTTGTTGAGATGCACTATGGTAAAGGGAAAATGTTGCGTGTCATTCAACGATTACAAGAGGAAAGCGATAAGCAAGGCATAACTATCTTAGATCGATTTCTACAGACGCGTAAATTAGAGACAAAGGTAATAGATAATGAAGTAGGAGAAAATGTATCCTCATAGTAATCATTATTAATATGGAGTATAGCTTGTTGAAATACAGTGTTTAATGATCGCTATGCTTCGAAGCGGTAATGCTGTACCTAGCAGAGCATCACCCAATCCTTCGACTTCTACATCAACTCAAAATGATGATAATAACAATCCATTGGTTGATCCACGACAATTAGATGCCAACCTCTACGAGCTATCACTCATCAGTCAGCGTACTGTGCTGTTTAATAGCTTTATGAATGAACGAGCCAGCGATGGAATGGATGTACTTGCCTCTGATGAAAAAGAACTGGTGATGAAAGGCAAAGACAGTCGATTCTACGGACCGAACGGGTTACTTGTCTCTTCTGGTTTATCCAAACGTGTACATGAAATGATGAATTCATATCTAGTAATTGACGAGTACTTGCTGAAGAAAAGCATTACCAAAGCAATTCATTTAGATGACTACGATCCAGCCACACCTCATGCTTCGTCAACATGTGTAGATGACGTCTTTTTCATCCTAAAGACCATACTCAAACGGTGCATATCAACATATAAACCAGACGTGATATCCTCTACAGTTCGCACCCTACTTAAAGCTTTAGAAAACCAGTATATAAACTATTTTCAGCAACACATGTCCACTGTTTTTACTGCGCATGATACGACAGGAAGAAACGCAGAAAAAGCGATTGAAAATGCTAAAATAAGCTACATGGTTGTGTTGAACAACTTAGATATAAGTGCAGATTACACACATCGATTAGCTAAGGAGCTGCAACCTGAAATCACAAGAGCCATTTGGTTGGATGAGGAGAATGACATAGCAAGGGTCACTACATCCATTGACAAGTTTGAAGGAATTGCAGACAAGTTCAATCGGCTACTGAAGGTAAGCAAACAAGTAAAAGAAAGAGAACAATGAACTGGATTTTGTATATAGCACGGTATCGAACAACTAGTGAATCAAGTACTCAAGCCACGTATTCGGCCTTTATTTCAAGAATCATATCGTGAAGTTAAATATGTTCTAGAGGAAGATGAGTATAATGAGGCAGATATTGAAGAAAAGTTTGTCAAAAAGTTTAGACAAGGCTTCAATCATTTGATTCACTTATATAAACGCACATTAACAGAAAATAATTTTAATACCTTGATGGATCTGATGCTAGACATCATCACTGCTCAGTGGGAACGAATTGTTTCACAGACAAGATTTAATCAATACGGTGCTCTAAGATTTGATAAAGACCTTCGATCTATCATTCTTTACCTATCCTCTATAACAGAATGGCTCTCGCGTGATAAGTTTACTCGCTTGAACCAGATGTCTACTATACTTAACTTTGAAGAGGTAATAGCATGATCTGACTTTTTAAACGAATACTAACATGAAGTGATCATTAGCCTTCAGAGATACATGAACTTTGGGGCAACAGTTCAAGCCCAATTAACTGGAGATTGACAGTAAATGAAGTAAAGAAGATACTTGGCCTTCGTCTGGATTTTGAATCCAAGCTGGCGGATGAACAGCTCCTTCTTAGTACAAAATAAATAAACAAATCAACGACACTCATTTCCAGCTTGACAGCACTTTGCCCTTTACTATTTCGACTACGGCCTCCTCCTACTTGAATCACAGAACATGCGTCAGAAGAGTACGAGTTGATAGTGAGCCATACTGATCCTATTTCGGCACTCTTCACAATTCTGACCACGACAGATTATTTTTCTCTAATTTATTCAAATAAGCAGTTATCTTTATCACGTTCCATAAATTCCACACTTAAAGCACAAGATGCAAAATATAAAATGAAATTTGATGCAAATTCCATTTTTCTAATATGACATAACGTTATATCGTAATATATGGTCTAGTGTACGTATGTCTGTTTATGATGACGACAGCGCTATCACCGTAATGGAACTGAAGCAGCTCAAGCTGCTACTGACACTGAAAGTTTTATCAGGATTTATGATGAGCTTTGATGAATTAAAGAAGTTTCATCACTTCTACAGCAGTTATTGTTTTGACAAAAGCAGGACAAAAAAGAACTCCCAGTAATACAAGCCTTGATGATATCGCCCATTGCTGTTTGAAGGCAGGAATAGGCGTTTAGTATTTTATGGCTTAATAAAGCGTTTGTTAATGGCTGGTAGCAGCAGTGAAATCCATATTTGATAGAGTTAGTCCAATTTTATAATGTTCCTTTCTGGCATTCGCTGTATTACTACTTGAATAACATGATCTACGCTATAAGCCTACTACAAAAAATCGCCCAATGAGGAATGAGGAATAGCATTCTCCTTAAAATAATTCATGCAGCAAAAAGGAACATTTCTTTTTCAAAGTCACAATGTAAACAAATCAAAAACTATAAAAGGAGGCACTCATTTTAAACTTTTTTTTCTCTACACTCGAACTCTATAGTTTATCCAATTCCGAGATTGAAGGAATGCTCCTAGAACATTGCCGGATGTTGAAGTGCCGGGTAGCTGGTCTTTCCTGCTTCGGGGGGAGAGCAAGGGTTCTTATTTTTCTTCTCTAAGCAATATTCTTTCTTTTTATTATTAGAATTAATATAAATGAAAAAAAAAAAAAAATAAAGGCTTGGATACTCTATGTTTCTAGAAAAAATGAACAATGCTGGAATAAAATGAATGACTCCTTTTTTATCTATTTATTTACCTTGCAATAGTTAGCGCCTTACCCTTTTGAGCAAAGCTTGTGAAACGTGTTTATATGAGCACTCTTTTTTGGATCAAAAAGCGTGATCACTTCGTTTGAATACAAGAAGCCTTCTAGTAACCCTTTTCTAGAGATGTTATAGTTTTAATATAATGCCTTGATCAGAGTTGTATACATCAAGTAACTTGTTAAAGCATCATATAATCTCAATTAGTTGTATCATTTCAAATTCTTCAGCATTACTTAACTAGTCAGTAATCTTTCTTTTAGCTTCATTTTGTTACCATATTCACATAGGAACAGGACGTTATAGCAAGCATGAGACGCAGATAGCTCCCTTAGCTAATTAGCATGGACCTACCTATCAGAATCATCTCCACTCTTTTGCGATAACAAATTGAACTTTATTGAGTTCGTCTACGGATGCCTAAGAAAACAAATAACAGACTTGTTCAAAGGGCCAGGACAGACTGAAGAGAGGGAGAAAAAAAGAATCTGGAGTGTTGCCATGGTGAACGTTTGTATTATATGAATTATATGAATCTTTGTCAAGACGAGAACCAGAGGATGAAAGGGTCTTTGATCAATGCCTTGAAGAAGTGGTTGGGTGTATAGTGCATGGTTAAGATGTTCAAGGCCCTATAATGGTTATCCACCATTGCTTTCATCCAACAACAATCACTGGTGGCTTTGGGGAGGATTTATGTGAGGGTTTGTTCAGGTAAAAGGAAGCTGAATCATCAATAGGAAAGAGAAAGGCCCAAGCGGTCGTGTGTGTAAGATGATGG